GGCTTGTACTGGATAGTGTTTTGTGCTTTAACTCTAAGAGAAAAACAAGAAGGAAACTCCTTATCCATGACATACGTCTATAACTATTACTTTCTCGGGAAACAAATGGAATTTCTTGTTATTCTTGCAGTGGATGTGTTCATTTGTAAATAAATGCATAAATAAAATAAACAACGGAATAAATTAAATAATTCAGAAATTAACTCTATGAATTAATTCTAAATTAAATGCTTACAGAAATTTTAAACGTCGAGGCATGTGTTGGATACAATCTCTTTAAAGTAGATTTCGCCCTCGCTCCGGTGCTTTGAGTTTTAACGGCGTCTACTTCTAAGGATGCAACAACTACTACTTGATTTGCAGTACTACAAAATCAAGCCTTTGCGAACCAAACTATGTTGTAACTCTTTCTCTTTCTTTTCCTAGAAACTAAATGTTCGACAAATACAGGAGCACAAGAAGATGAACAAAAGAAGAAAGGGAAGAGTTCTGAAAAATTTTGATGCAAAGAAACGCTGGAAAGGCAGGGTATAAATAAGAGAACAAATGGCTTTTCCAAACAGGTGCCAACAAATAGGAACTTGTTCGAACAGGTTCAACAGATTAAAAAACTTGTTTGGTTGGATTCAACAAGTTGCAAACCTGTTTGGACAGAAATAAATCTGTTCAGTTTGAATTTCAACATGTTCGGGCGTAGTAAAACCTGTTTGGGTGAAGGAAAAAATTTGGAGCAATTTATTTTGAATTTTGAACCAAAATTAAAAATAAATAAATAAATAAATTACAAAAATTTTTTGCCCAAAAAGATAAGTATTAGCCCAGCCCGCCCAAACGAACGGCGCCGGCAGTGCGCACGTGGTTTTTATTTGGATCCAATGGGTCTAACCCACTTTACCTATAACCTCACCCTTCCACAAACTTGGGTACCTCTTGAGGCCCATCCAAGTATCCCAAGCTAGAGTATATAAACCCATACAAATCCTTAAGCCTTTCCAATATGGGACAAGCACATTTCACAAATGTGTAGAAAACCCATCTAAAGCTATAAACGCAAACCTAAAAATGCGCAATGAATTCTCATTCATCTAAAAATGGTTTTGAGCAACCAAATACATGATGTTATTCACTACGCGACATGAAACATGAACCCAATGAGAAACCTTAAAAATAATGCATGGGTCCCACCTTAATTAATTCTCAAAGTTAGCAAAAAATAAGATTTTTCAAAGCCATTTTCCAACAATCCCTCACGTGAATAGAATTCACGATAATGGACATGCAACAAGATGCAGACAAAGAAAGAATACATTAAGAAGATACACCACATCAAGACAGGTAGCTTTTGGCTTTGAACCTCCTATAGTGAAAGCCTATCAGACTTACTGGCTAACCAGTGGACGCAATGTCTTGAACAGTTTAGCTCTGCAAACACAGTTTGGTTCTTACAGTTGTGTTCATTTTGGCCCTGAACAACACCTGGTAATTCATGAGTGCTCTAGAGAATTTAGCCTTCTCAATTCTCACAGAACTGGCCCAGTTCACACTCATATCGGTGACTTTTTATTAAGAGTATTCGGTTACACCCCACTTGGATGTCCAAGCTATAAAAATCATTAAAAGCAAAGCTTATCCTACTAACGTTGCATGTTTCACTCTTTTTATCATAGAAATGGATAGGAGAAAACCTCCTTAGTGATACTTGAAGTCATCCATAATTCGGTTGTCCCTTCAAACCTAGATCTTGGGATCCCCAGTCAACAAGGTTGGGTTGCCATTATGGCGACTTTTAAATAATAGGCTTTAATCCCATTTTCCTCGATAAATGGTACATTTGCTCTCTGGCTAGCCCTTTAATCAATAGATTCGCAATATTCTCCCTTGACTTTACATATTCTATGAAAATTATTCCATGTGAGAACAAATGGCTAACGGCATTATGTTTTCGACGAATGTGTAGAGACTTACCGTTATAACATATGATTCTATGCCCATCCTATTGCTGCTTCACTATCATAGTGGATGCATATTACTGACATAGGTTTAGGCCACATTAGAATGTCTTCTAAGAAATTACAAAGCCATTCTGTTTCTTCTCCTGTTTTATCAAATGCGATAAACTCAGATTCTATTGTCCACCTTGCTATGCATGTCTGCTTGGAGGATTTCCAAGAGACTGCAGCACCTCGTAGGGTAAAGACGTATCCAGTAGTAGATTTTGAGTCTTTAGTATCCGATATCCAATTTGCATCGCTGCACCCCTCGAGTACTGCTGGATATTTGGTATGATGTAAGCCATAATTCTGGGTATGTCTTAGATACCCAAGTACCCTAATTATCACTTTCTAATGATCTGGCCTTGGATTACTTGTGTACCTACTCAATTTGCTTACAGAATAGGCTATATCTAGCCTAGTTCAATTCATTAAGTACATCAAGCTTCCAATTATCCAAGAGTACTCTAATTGTGATATGCCAACATCTGTATTTTTTGACAAACGAAGACTAATGTCAATAGGTGTTTTAGCAGGACGATCGTCATGCTTTCCAAATTTCTCCAAAATCTTCTCAACATAGTCAGACTGAGATAAAGCATATCCTTCAAATGTTCTAATTTTTATTCCTAGAATTATATCTGCTACTCCCAGATCTTTCATGTCAAACTTTTTGTTCAACATTTTCTTGGTGGATTTAATCATATCATTATTGCTTCCAATAATGAGCATGTTATCCACATAAAGACAAATTATGACATAGCCTTTGTCTGTGTGTTTAATATAGACGCATTTGTCACATTCGTTTATCTTAAAACCATCCAAAATCGTAACGTGATCAAATTTTTCATGCCATTGTTTCGAAGCTTATTTTAATCCATAAAGGGATTTGACAAGTTTACAAACCTTTTTCTCTTGACTAGGAACTTGAAACCCTTCTGATTGTTCCATATAGATTTCCTCATCTAACTTGCCATTTAAAAAGGCTATTTTAACATCCATTTGATGTATCTCTAGATTATACAGATCTGCAATCGCAATTAGCATGCAAATAGATGTTATTCTTGTCACTGGTGAATAGGTGTCAAAATAATCAAGGCCTTCCTTTTGTCTGTATCCTTTAACAACAAGCCTAGCCTTGTATTTATCTATTGAACGATAAGCTTTTATTTTTCTCTTGAATATCCACTTATATCTAAGAGGTTTACACCCTAGTAGAAGATCCACCAGTTCCCAAGTACGATTTTGCAGAATTGATTTAATTTCACTATTCACAGCCTCTTTCCACAATGGAGCTTCAGGACTTGACATTGTTTCCTTGAAGTTTTGAGGCTTATTTTCTAATAGGTATGTCAGAAAATCTGGATCAAATGATTTAGAGATCCTAGCCCTCTTGCTACGTCTAGGTTCATCTGCTTCATTATCATTTTGGTCTTCACTACCACCCATAGTAGTATCAAAAGTCCTTTTATTTGAACTTCTCCATTCAGTTTCCTTGGAAGGAAAAATGTGTTCAAAAAACGACACATTCCTTGACTCAATAATAGTATTTACATGAATATCAGGATTTTCTAATCTATGAACTAAAAATCTGTATGCACTACTATTATTTACATAACCAATGAACACACAATCAATGGTTTTTGGTCCTATCTAAGTCGTTTTGAGACTAGGGATTGCCACCTTAGCCAAACACCCCCACACTTTGAGGTAATTGTAGGTAGGTCGTCGACCTTTCCATACTTCATAAGGTGTTTGATTGATTTTCTTGTGGGGTACCTTGTTAAGGATAAAATTAGCAGACAAAATCATCTCCCCCCACAAGTTCTAAAGTAACCCCGAACTAATCAACATTGCATTCATCATCTCTTTAAGAGTTCGATTCTTTCTCTCAACAACTCCATTTTATTGAGGATAATAGGGTGCAGTGGTTTGGTGAATAATACCATGTTCAGAATAAAATTCCTCAAAAGGTGTATCATACTCACCACCTCTATCACTCCTCACTACTTTAATAGTTTTGCCAAATTGATTTTCAACCTCAAGTTTATATTGCTTAAAATCTTCTAAGGCCTTATCTTACTTGATTTGCAGCACTACAAAATCAAGTCTTGTGAACCAAACTATGTTGTAACTCTTTTTCTTTCTTTTCCTAGAAACTAAATGTTAAACAGATGCAAGAGTATAGGAGGACGAACAGAAGAAGAAAGGGAAGTGTTTGGGAAAATTTCGATGCCAAGAAATGCCGGAATGACAGGGTATAAAAAGGAGAACTTGTGACTTTTCCGAACAGGTGCTAACAGATAGGAACCTGTTCGGACAGATTCAACAGGTAGAAAAACCTGCTCTGTTGGATTCAACAGGTAGCAAACCTATTTGGATAGAAATAAATCTGTTCAGTTTGAATTTCAACCTGTTCGGGTGGAGTAAAAGTTGTTTGGGTGAAGGAAAAAATTTGGACCAATTTATTTTGAATTTTGAACCAAAATTAAAAATAAATAAATAAATTACAAATGTTTTTGGCCCAAAAAGATAAGTATTAGCCCAGCCTGCCCGGACGGCGATGGCGGCGCGAGCGTGGTTTTTGTTTTGGGTCCAATGGGTCTAGCCCACTTTACCCATAACCTCACCCTTCCACAGACTTGGGTACCCCTTGGGACCCATCCCAAGTATCCCGAGCTAAAGTATATAAACCCATACAAATCCTTAAGTCTTTTCGATGTGGGACAAGCACATTTCACAAATGTGTAGGAAGCCCACCTAAAGCCATATCCACGAACCCAAAAAATACGCGTTTCTCATTCATCCAGAAATGGTTTTGAGCAACCAAATACACGATGTTATTCACTACGCGACATCAAATATGAACCCAATGAGAAACGTTAAAAATAACGCTTGGGTCCCACCTTAATTAATACTCAAAGTTAGCAAAAGATAAGATTTTTCAAAGCCATTTTCTAACATTTCAAAAAAATAAAAATAAAAAGCCCTAAAATAAATTCCACTTACATCGGCATAGGCTAGGTGATACAGTGGATTTGTTGGTTGAGATAAGATTAGCTCTTCATAGCAAAAAGCCGCTTGCTTGTACCTAGTTAAACCATAAAAGGAAAAGAAAAAAGAGAACACATAGCATAAGCTAAGGTAATATATAGTAAATTCTCCAAACAGTAGAGAAATACTCAATATTTGATTACTTGTTTTCCTGTAAGAAAATGCAAACTATAGGTATCTAACATTTGTGGAGAGACATATATTTCAGCAAGTTCCCTCCAGGCATCATGATCTGCCATAAATCTGGAAATAAAAAATAAAAAATCTAGCCATGTAACCACACAGGTTAGAACATTGATAAAATTGAAAGCATATGCTTTTGAGATCATCCTCACATTTCCAAATATTTATTTAGCCATTCAATGGCCCCTGAAAGATTGCCTTCGGCCTTTTCCGTAGTTGCCATCCTCTTTTGAATTACCTGAATTAGAATAATGAAAAAGAGTTGACATGTAAGACATAGGGTTAGTTTTTCTATCTCCACTAGTAAGGACAACATCCCTTTTCTTGCAAAGGAAGAAGTTGAACCATTCAATTAAAAATGAATGTCAGTTCGTGAAGAACCTGTATAGGAACTTACTTGATGATCTGGTAGATTATCCTCCTGAAGGCTTGAGTAAGCTTTTTCTGCCTTCGCCCACAATCCCTTAGCTTCAAGCAGCATTGCTTCTAATCGACCTGTAATTATGTCAAACCAGTACTATAAACCATGGCAATTCAAAAAAAAAAAATAAATAAATAATAGGCATTTTCTAATCCAGGCTGCGACACCCTTTTGTCACCTCAAATCGTACAAAATTAGTTTAGGATAAAGAACTATTATGTCAACTGCTTTCACAATCTTAGAGGAAGATTTTTTAAGAGTCTTGAACAAGTATTCAATAATATATCCAGCAATTCTATAAACAAATATATCAATTGATGCTGGACAGCACTGAATTTTGAAAACAGAGTGAGTAGTTTAGGGTTTACATGGTTAAATTGAAGACTATAAGGTAGGGGAAGGGATTAGGTCTGATTTGGGAGTGATTGGAAGGAGTTTTGAGGTTGAAAGTGCACTTTTAGAGGGCTGTGAATAGTAATCCGAGAATAGTAAATTGAAACACAAAAGAAGAAGAAAGAAGAAAAGAAGCACTACAGGAAATAACACTTTTGCCGACCAAAAAATTGGTCGCTAAAAGCCCATTTTTAGTCGGCAAAAGTTATCCGCGATCAATTTTTATGGTTGCTACTTTGGTCGCCAATTGAGGGTCGGCAAAAATAATTCGTGACCAAAATTTTTGTTGGTTGGGAAAAATTGGATTTGCCGACTAAATTTTTGGTCGCTAAATATATCATTACTGCGACTAACCAATTTTGTTGGTAAAACACTTTGGTCGCGAAAAGTGATATTTTCCCGACCAAATATCCTAGTCACCAATTGTCACATTCCCCGACCAAACAAATTAGTCACCAAAAGTCGAAGAATCGCCGACTAACAATTTAGTCGCCAAAAGGTGAGGAATTGCCGACCAATGATTTTAGTCACAAAAGTGTAGAATTTGCCGACCAATTTTTTAGTCGCCAAATCTCTTTTTTTTTTTCTTTTTTTCTTTTTTTTGAGAACAATCAATTTTTGTTTATAAACATTCAATCCAATATCAAACAAAATTCATTCAACCCAACCATAATTAAGGAACAATAACATTTAAAAAATAAAAACCAATGTTAAAGTATCTTAAAAATCCAAATTAAAATTACACGTATACAGCAAACCAAGCAATGAAGAACACTTAATGCTTTGCACAATATTGCCTCGGGATATTAGTTTCAAACCTTCAAATAAAATGTTTAAAAAAAGAAAAAAGAAAAAAAATGACGAAAGTTCACAGAAAATATATGCTCGGAGAATTCCCAGTCTTTCATAACCTGGCCCAACTATAAGTGTATCTCCAAGAAGTGAAGCATGAATGGAAAAGATCAAAGAGACGACCAAGCAAGTAAGAATAATAAACAAACAGCATTCTGTCCTCCTCCTCATGCTAGCCATCCCTGAAATGGTGATTGTGGCAATGATATTTAGGACTCAAAAAGTATTATCTCAAATGCTTACTAATACAATAATACTGCTGTTGGTAGATTTCTTTCTTGTATTCTCTACTCTCCGACGAGGACTTTGAAAATAATTTTATGGTCATCTCTCCTAGTAGTTAGTCATCAGCTCAGTCACAATCATTGCTAATTAATTCATGGTCCACAATGAAGTCTGGAGTCTACACAATTTATGACTCAAATGTTGAAAAACACATATATAAGCATCATTTATTGCAACTTTTAATCACTTCAACCATATAAAAATAGAAAACAAACACTTTTTATTCTTATTTATATTCACAAGGACAATAATCACAAACAGCTTGGCCTAAAAATCCAAATTGAACAACACAATATATAAGCATAAATTATTGCAACTTTTAATCACTTCAAACGCAAAATAAGAATACCAAAAGATCATCATATTACCTCATAAAATCCTATCCCACATGGCAAAGTGACTTTTTAGCAAAACAGAAATAACCATGGTCCAGCATCAAACAATGCAAAACAATGGAAACTTACTACAACATTTTTGCTTGCACCAAATGCTCTAGTTACAGCACATCACACTATGCTCACAAAAGGCTGTCAATAGAGGAAAGGCAACGACAACAATAGAACTTTATACACCCGATATTAAGAGTCAAATAATCCCAAAAAACATAATGCTGATCCAAACTCTAAAAGCCCCCAAAAACATAAATTTCACATACAGCCCCGTTAATCATTATAGTGGAAATTAAACATCACCAAAAAACTGATGCATACTTGGTAGAGTTCTATTGACCAATGAGGATAAGAAACACAATCCAAAAAATAAATAAATCAAATGAAAGAAATCAATCATAATGATACAGTCCTGCCCATAATGGAGCATGTATCCACACTCACGGCAACATCAAATAGGAGTTTAAAAAATAATCTTGAACACCCGAATTTCTAAAGAAAACATATTTTTACCTGCTGATATTGCCCATCCGAACCTTCGGCTTGTACTGGCACAACAGAACCATGCATTGGAACCTGAAAAGATGCATAATTTCCAGCAACAGCAGCAGCCGCCATTAGCTTTCATCTCCGGTGTAGTGGTGAAATAATCCGAAGCCATAATCTTGTTGAGCTTCGCTCTCAACCCATCATCTACAAAAAAAATAAATATCAATTAAAGTCACCAAAACAAATCTACACACAAATCCCAAAATTCAACAAAAGTTGTGGTGAATTAAGCATACAAGAAACATTTAGATATGAATCGATTCAACCACAACAATCAAGAAGCTAATGACTCACCACCATTTTCCCAATTTTGCAGAAAACACAGACCCATTTGTAAGATTTGAAGAGAGAGAGAGAGAGAGAGAGAGAGAGAGAGAGATGGATCAGATCGATATGTTTAAGCAACAATAATTGATCTCACAATCGGTGTAGAGATTATTATATATATACATATATATCAGTCGATTAGAGAGAGGAAGCTAAAAGCCTTACAATGCGAGGAGCTGCGAGGGAGGAGCCACCGATTGAGCTTCCTTGGGTGATGGATCTCAGGCGACGGTGACCAACAATGAGGTGAATCGGTGCTCCGGTTGTCAGAGATCGTGAGGGAGGGGAGAGGAGCAGCGGAGACGGAGAGGCAGAGGGGGAGAGAGAGAGATGCTGAAGAGAGAGACAGGCGCTGGTTTGAGTTTGGAAACCAAATATATAAATATATATATCACACCATTAGCGACTAAATACTTTTAGTCGCCAATTAATTTTATAAAATCCCTCCAAAATTTGAAATGTTTCCCTCTACATATTTTAGTCTTTTGGCGTCTAAAATTTTTTTTTGTCGTTGAAAATAAGTTTTTGGCGACCAAATTTTTGGTCGCCAAAGATAAAAATAATAATTTTTTATTTTACATTCGGCGACTAAATTATTTTAGTAGTCAAAACTCAATATACGGCGGTTGAAAAAAAATTTTGTAGCTAAAAATATGTTTTTGGCGACAAACTTTTGGTCGCCAAAGATAAAAAAATATTTTTTTATTTTACATTCGGCGACTAAATTATTTTAGTAGCCAAAACTCAATATACGATGACTAAAAAAATTTTTTGTACCTAAAAATATGTTTTTGGCGACAAACTTTTGGTTGCCAAAGATAAAAAAATAATTTGTTATTTTACATTCGGCGACTAAATTATTTTAGTAGCCAAAACTCAATATACAGCAACTAAAAAAAATTTGGTCAGGAAAAATAAGTTTTTGGCGATTAAAATTTTGGTCGCCAATTCCACAATCAACTTATTTTTGATCTTCTGCGACCAACTTATTTTTTGGTCGCCAAAATGTGACCTTCCGCCACCAAATTTGTAGTTGGTCGCCAAAAGCATACCACTATCTATGACCAACTCATTTTTCGATCGCCAAAATATGACATTCTGCAACCAACTCATATTTGGTCGCCAAAAATAATGATCATTCGCGACTAATTAATATTTGGTCGCCAAAAGGTGACTTTTAACTACCAACTTTTATATTGGTCGCGGAAAGTGGTTGCTAAAAGTGCAGATTCTTGTAGTGAAGATAGATCTATGCATCGCAACTAGATTTCGTAGGCATCACACTTAGGGTTAGGATTGCATCACACAAACCCAAAGAGGCTTCAAAGCTTTCAAAATTCTCTAAAATATCAGCTCTATTAAAATATAAGCATTACATAGCTTTATATAGAACTAGGAGTCTTCATAAACCAACTATAACCAAAAAGAGAAACTACTAAAATATCTTTGACTTCTAAAACTAATTTAAGACCAAACAAGAAACAAAAACAAAGAGTAATTAAATAACTTGACCCACAAGACGACCCATAGGTGAACCACACAATCCATATTTAGAAATTCTACAAATTACCAAAATGGAAAATATTTGAGACCCTCATAAATCTTCCACAATTCAATTTGAATGCTTCTGCCTACATCATTAATTGTGGATTCCAAAACTCTCTTCCTCCTTTTCAACTAATGTTTCATCATGCAATTCGACATTACCATCCCTTAGAAAAATACCAAGACCTGTCATAGAAAATTTAGGCAGCAAAGTGGTGACCTGTAAAGCCATATTTTGTACTAGTAGCTGGTTGTGTCATTTCTTTAGTCCCTACAACTTCCATAGCATCCAATCCCTCGCTTTGGACTCTAGCCTTTACTTGAGTAATAACTAGATCTTCTTGAGATGCTTATGGATCATCAATAAGTGTCTCGTTATCCTTCAAAATCTGGTCATCTTTCATCTTAGGAAAATTCTAAACATATTCATTGGCATGCAACTAACTCCGTTGCGGTTTTTTAACAACTCCGCCGGTCCCATGGCCGGGTAAAGGACTGTTGTGTGTTACGTAGCCGACAACCAACATGTAAAAAAACCGCTTAGATCCCATATGAAAATGAATCCTACTTTGAATTGATTTAAATGCTAGGTTGTTTCCCTTAAGTGACGCGTTGTGCCTACCTCTGAGTGTTTCGAAAAGTAAACAAGGGCCGCCACATCGACGCCTGGGTGCAGTGAAAAATAGGCAAAAGTTTCTGCCTTTTTTTGGACGAGCACAAATAAAGATGCTAAGACTATGGAATTGAAAAATAGGCAAAGGTTTCTGCATTTTTTAGGGTAGTCACATGGAATGTAAGAACTTTAATTGGTAAGACTATGGAATTGATAGATGTTATGATTAGGAGGAGAGTTAGTATAGCTTGCGTACAAACAACTAAGTGGACAGGTGAGAAAGCTAGGGAAATAGAGGATACCGATTTTAAACTATATTACAGTGACAAGGATAGACACTGGAATAGGGTAGGAATAATAGTTGCTAAGGGTCTTGTAAAAAATGTAGTTATGGTCATTAGGAAATGTGATAGGATTATGTTAGTTAAACTAATTATTGGAGAGAATATCATGAATGTTATTAGTGCATACGCCCTCCAAGTAGCATTAAATGATCAGGATAAGAGAGATTTTTGGGACCAAATGGATGAGCTATTATAGGACATACTCGTAGGAGAGACCCTAGTTATAGGTAGTGATTTCAACAGCCATGTAGGAATAGATAAACTAGGTTATGAGAGGGTTCATGGTGGGTACGGTTTTAGTGATAGAGATGAGACTGGAGGGAGTATTAGAGATTTCGCATTGGATTCTGACCTAGTGGTGGCCAATACTATATATAAGAAGAGAGAGGATCATTTGATAACCTTTAAGAGTGGGTCAATTAGGAGCCAAGTAGATTACGTTCTAGCAAAAAAAGTAGACCGTCTAAAATGCAACGACCGTAAGGTGATTCCTGGAGAGAGCCTAACGTCTCAATATAGGATTTTGGTACAAGATTTATGCTTTAAAGGCCAATATAAAGCTGGGAAGGATAATGGGCGTCGTAGGACAAGATGGTAGAACCTAAAAAGGGATAAATTAGAAATATTTAGGAATAAAATGGATAAAAAAGGTACTTGGGACTTGGAAGATGATGCTAACACTATATAGAACTCGATGGCAAATTGTATGAGGAGAATCTCACGGAAAGTTCTTGGAGAGTTGAAAGGAAAAGGACCCAACTCTAGGGAAACTTGGTGGTAGAGGAAGGAGGTTCAAGCGATGGTAAAAACCAAAAAAGAGTGCTTTAAAAAGTGGCAAAATGATAGAACTGAAGAAAACCTTAAAAGCTACAGATTTGCTAATAAGAAGGTCAAAAAGGTAGTGAGCGAAACTAAGATGAAAGCCTATGATGACCTATATACTAGACTAGATAGTAAGGAGGGAGAGAAAATGATATACAAACTTGCTAAGATAAAAGAGAGGAAAATAAGAGACTTTAATCAAGTTAAGTGCATCAAGAGTGAGGACTCTAGGGTGTTGATGAAGGATAAAGAGAGTAAGGAGAAGTGGAATAACTATTTTGAGAAGTTATTAAATGAGGACCATGGAGGGAGGTCAAAATGGGAGGAACTAGGCAGTAAAGAGGGAAACTAGGACTCTAGATTTTATAGAAGGATTAGGAATTTTGAAGGGGAAATTGCACTTGAGATGGTGGAATCGAATAAGGCTTTAGAACCGGATGATATCCCTATTGAAGCTTAGAAATGTTTGGGTAGGAAGGGGGTTGCTTGGTTGACTAGGTTATTTAGCAAGATTTTGTTGACTAGAAAAATACTCGAAGAGTGGAGAAAGAGTATAGTTAGAATGTATAATGAAGAAATTTAGTGTTAGGATTTATAGGGTTTAGAAGCAGAAGAAAAAGAAGAAGAAGAGAAGAGATAGAGTAATTTTATATATATTTGGAGTAAATGTTCACTCTACATTAGCAAAATATATATACAAACCCTAACATAGTGAAATGACCATCATACCCTTAACTTAGGTAAATATTACCAGAAAAATAGTTAAACAGAAAATAACTATTCTAACACTCTCCCTCAAGCTAGAGCATAGAGATCAAACATGCCAAGCTTGACAGATAAATGATGAAATGAAGACCAAACCAAAGGTTTAATGAGAATATCACCCAATTGATCTTCAGAATGAACATAAGGAATCACAAGTTGCTTGCGTAATAAGAGATCATGGATAAAATGACAATCAACTTCGATATGTTTGGTTCGTTCATGAAACATGGGATTATTGGCAATGAAGATAGCAGCCTGATTATCACAAGACATACTCATAGGAATAGAAACAGAAAAACTAAAATCCCGAAAAAGAGACTGGACCCAAAACATCTCAAAAGCAGTATGAGCTATGGCACGGTACTCAGCCTCGGCACTAGAACAAGCAACAAGAAGTTGTTTCTTGCTACGCCAAGTAATAAGATTACCACTAACAAAGGTACAGTATCCCAAGGTAGAATGGCGGTCAGTCCGATTACCAGCCCGATCAGCATCACAGAAGCTAGTAATAGATAACGAGAAAGATAGGCAATCTAGAAAACCCCGACCGGGGGCACTCTTTAAGTGCTGTAAAATGCGACACACAACAATAAAATGGGGTTGGCAGAAAGCATGCATAAATTGACTAACCACACCCACAACATACATTAAAA